TATATATTGCATGTTGTATTGCCCGGTGTTGCTGTTCCAGCGCGTGAGTTTCACGTTAATTAGTTTAGCATTTCAGAGGCATGAAGCTACCATGCTGTGCATCTTGCAAAAGTATTATGCAGAAACTCTTCAATGTTACAGCAATATACGCACCAAACCTAGTGAATTAAATGGCCAGATAATCTGTCTAACCCTAGTGAATTGAATGGCCACATAATCTGGCCAAAACTAGTGAATTAAATGGCCAGATAACCTCACCAAACTTAGTGAATTAATTTGTCAGGTAATCAATCTCTCCATGTCCTTGGTATACCATTTCTTTGAGACTGTTGTATAAGTAGAAGAGGAGGGAAAGTGAACATACGCATTCATAAATTACAACGTGAAATCATTGTTACTCCCTCCATCCCAAAATAAGTGACTCAACTTTGTACTAACTTTGTACGGAGGGAGTATGAGTATAATTGGTTTGGTGTCAAAAATTGGCAATGCCAATGTTTGGCATTGTGTCAAATATTGGCTGCAACTTGATTGGTTACCGAGTTGTTTTGCCTATCTCACATAAAGTTGCCAATATTTGGCAAGCCTAGGTATTACCAATATTTGGCAAGCCAACATTTGGCTAGCCCAATACTGGTAGCAAATCAATCATGCTCTATATTGCTTAGCCCTGCCCCCATCCTCCAACATCTAATATGCAGGGTTCCATGCTGTATATTTCGTTTGCTAAAATATTTGTTATGTTTAGAGCGAGGCCATGATGTTTAGTATTCTGAACAATTTGTTTGATATGTAGTCCGTGCTGTTCAACTCCTATCATGTTTAGTTTTCTTAGTAACATCTGGTTGAACAATTTCTCCGATTATTAGTTCGTCGATCTAATGATTTTGCCCGACCTGTGTCATAAAAAGCCTTGCCCTTGTGTACAATTATACAGCCTTGGTCAGATGTTGGTACATATTAGTGAGCCGTGCCCAGCGTGGCACACATTTAATTTTTGTTAGTAAATATATCAATCTATTGAGCTTAATTTCCCAAACCAAGAATGAATATCAACCGTAGCATTGGTCGGATATTCGTACAAATTAATGGGGTACTATTTCTGTCCATTGATAGATCAAACTTTTGAGCCTAATTTATTTTGTTGAAGAACTTTTGTGCCTAATTTAACAAATCAAGAATAGATATCGACTGTAGCATCATCTTATCATTGTGCAGATTGAACTAGCTTCCACATTTTCTTTCGTCTGTTTTCTGCTGTCCGTGCTAAAGTTAATCTCTCCTTGTTCAGAAGAAAAAGGGAAGTTTGATGAGCTTGTTGAAGAGAAAGGTGTAAAAGTACTGATTGACCCCAAGGCCCTGATGCATGTGATCGGCACCAAGATGGACTTCGTTGACGATCCACTGAGGTGACCTTCTCTAGTTTCTGTGCAGAAAATTCTTGTTTTCGACCTCCATTGCCTTACCTCTAGTTCATTATTGATGGTACCTTGTGTTGCAGGTCAGAGTTTGTGTTCATCAACCCGAACTCGAAAGGGGAGTGTGGATGCGGTGAATCTTTCATGACTACGGGCAGCAAAGGATCTACGTCATGATGCGTCCTGCGATGATGTAAATAGAGCGAAGCATGTGCAGTGGTGGCTCTAGTTACTGATATAATTTTGTCTTGGAAAGCAACGGCCATTGTAAGCTTGCTGCGTTTGCATCCACGTAGTGAACACTGCAGCGGATTTACTCACGTGATGGATGAACCAGTTTGTTGCCGGTACTCTTACATTCATCTTGGCCCTGTGTTGTTGTTACGTTCACTAATTCTTGTCTGGGAACATATCGAGTGCACGATAGTCAAAATAAACATAGAAAGCATTCTTCTGATACAAAGCCGTCTGGTGTTTTTCCCGGTGGAAATAAAGGATGTATCTATGGCATTTATCTTCGTTAAAAGTAAATATGGAGCTCTTGCTTGTTTGAAAATTTATGTACTCCCTCTGGTCCAAATTAATTGACACAGCCTCTATATGATGTCCAAGTACTTAAATTAAGCTAGAACTGGGATGAACCCAGGCCGAATTCTTGGCAGACCTGGTACCGGAATTAAACAGCAGCAGAAGCCAGGCAACATAACACAATGAAGATCGCATACGTTGTTACTGTCAGTAATTCATGTGATTGATTGCATTGGAAGTTTGAACTTCAGAAGATTTCATAGTTCATAGTTTCATGGATTATTTTGCGTTTGCCATACACTTATGATTCCAGGGCGCGGCGTGGTCTCGCCGTCCTGCCGTTGGTAACCTCTCTGTTGCTGCCGACGCTTGACCTGAGATAAACACCCAGTGCCGCAAGTCCTAAACATTTCATTCAGATCCCGGACGAGTCTGTCCATTCTGAAAGCTGGGGGGATAAATACTAGAGAAAAAATCAGAAAGCATACAGCGCACTCTCTGAATTACCAGTGTCCAACTACAAGGCAATACAAACAAACAGTAATGAAACAGAGATCAAATACTACTTGAAACGAGCCATTTCTATCAGATCCGTCGAGCAGAAATTAGAAACTGCTGCTGGCGCCGACACGGCTTGACATTATAGCCAAAATGAATCATGTGGAACAACTTTCCGGTCGCAAATTCAGTAACTCGATTGATTTTAGGAGCGACTGAACTTTCTGCCAATTGGTTCTTCCATTTTGATGCACGAAATACGGCTCCAAAACTGCAAGATCGTGTCATGTTGCAGCAAATTTCACGGACAAAGTACAACCACGCGCATAAATTTTTTAAAAATAAACAGAGTCTCCAAACGCTGATAAGAGCACATGATTTCAGAAAAGATGGAGATGACCAGCACGTTGATTAGAGATGAAGAATTGAAGACCAGAACAAAATAACACGAGCATGTACTGAACATTGAGGCAGGCACCGTTACTATTTCTCGAGATCCAGAAACATAGCGATGCGATTCTTACACGATAACACGGCCACAAACACACCCAAACAGCTAACTACGAGACTCAGGAGGAGGTGAACTTGGTGACAGCCTTGGTGCCCTCGGAGACGGCGTGCTTGGCGAGCTCGCCGGGGAGGACGAGGCGGACGGAGGTCTGGATCTCCCGGGACGTGATGGTGGGCTTCTTGTTGTACCTCGCCAGCTTAGCGGCCTCGCCGGCGAGCTTCTCGAAGATGTCGTTGATGAAGGAGTTCATGATGGACATGGCCTTGGAGGAGATGCCGATGTCGGGGTGCACCTGCTTCAGCACCTTGAAGATGTAGATCTTGTACGTCTCCACGCTCTTCTTGGCCTTCTTCTTCGCCTTGCCGCCCTCCTTGGCCGCCGCCGACGACTTGCCCGCCGGCAGCCGCTTCTCGGCCTTGGGCTTCTTCCCGGCCGGGGTCTTCTCGGCCTTCTCCGCCGCGGGCTCCTCCTCCACTGGCTTCTTCGCCGCCGGCTTCTTCTCGGCCTTGGGCGCCATGGATGCTGACGGTGGGGTGGGGCGGGGTGGGGTTTCGCTGGAGGATTGAAGGAGGAGAGGGGATTGCAGATGAGATGTGGGGAGAAGAGGAGAGGGGCGGAGATTTTTATAGATGGGGAGAGGTGAGAGCTGATTGGCGGAGGGGTGGTGCCCCGGATCGATGACGTCAAGCGATACCAGCCGTTCGCCGCTTTTGAGATGGACGGGCTGGATGCGTTTCGACGCGGATCGCTGGCCTGGCTAAGTTGTGGGCGGGCGGCAGGTGTGCTTCCGCGCGCGCTCTGGCAGATTGGAAGGAAGACCTGCGGGCGCGAATTTTACGGAGAATTTCTGGGTGCTCGCCCGATTTGTATTGAACAATAGTACTCGCTCCGTTTCTTTTTAGTCTGCATATCAGACTTGGTCAAAGTCAAACTTTATTAACTTTGACTAAGTTTATAAAAAAATATATCAAGATTCATAATATGAAATATATATTGTTAGATGCATTATGAAATTAATTTTCATATCCTATAGGTTTAGTATTGTAGATGTTAATATTTTTTTCAATAAAGTTGGTCAAACTTTACAAAGTTTGACTTTGATCAAATCTTATATGCAGACTAAAAAGAAACGGAGGGAGTACAGTGAATTTTTTTAGATCAGAATCGAGACTTATTAATTGTTATTTTTGCGAGAAGAGATTTATTAATCATTGGAGCACATTTATATAGACGGACTCGGAAATCCAGCCCCTAAACATCCGTGAACATGCCTGGTCGCGACCCCGGACAGCCCCCCTCAAAGGTCTTGCAAACAACCATACTTCTCATATCAAAACCCTCAAATTCAAGTAAATTCATATACGTCAATCATGTAGCACAAATTCATCACAATTCAACGATCAAAGCAAAAAAAAATCAACATTTTGGGTGTGTCGAAATGAAATTCAACGTTCGGGCCAGGGTTGGCTAGCGCGATAGCTATAAGCATCGTCCTTTAAGCTCACTCGTTTGCTTCGAATGTCGGTAAGCGCCTTCTAAGCTCACTCGTCTTCTAAGCTCACTAGTTCACGAATCTCGTGCAAAATTACTGCAATATATGATTTTCGTAGTTCATCGAGTCTCGCAGCATCTGTTCCGCCCGACACCGCATGGTGCTGCAAATCCGCACCGCAAATCATGAATTTAGGTAATATAGCTGAAATAGAAAAAGCTCAAATAAAAAAATAAATACATATGAAACTAAATGTTTTAACATAGTACAATACAATAATTATCTCAAATGCAACAAATGTTCAAGTACAATAACGAATGGTTCAAAATTATTACGATAAGAGATGGTCCAGAATTAAAACAACTATTCAAAACACACATGAAAACAAATATATCAAATTAATTAAATCATGGTCTATTGCCCATACAATTGCCACTGATACTCAATGAGATCATCGTGTAGCTACATGTGTTTGTCACGCTCTTCAGTCTACCGATAGGTCTCAAGAAATGCATTGATCACATCTGGGTTCCAGTAGGCTTGACATGTCTACCAATATTGTCATAGAAAAGCTCCAAGTTTAAATCACACTCGTCCTCGATGAATATATTGTGTAGAATTACACATGCAGCCATGATATTTGAGAGGGGTTTCTTATCCCAGAAGCAAGCAGGACCTCGGAAAAATGGCAAACCGAGCTTGCAACACACCGAATGCCCTATCAATATCTTTTCGTCGTGCTTCTTGCGCCTGGGCAAAAATAGTTTGTTTTTCCATGTCGGCTTACTAATTGTCTTCACAAATGTTACCCACGAAGAATAAATAATGTCAGCAAGATAATACCCCATAGTATAATCATGTCCACGGACCGTGTAGTTGCTAGCCGAAGCATTTTCACTAGCTAGCTATACAAAAAAAGTGTGACCTATGTAACACATTGATATCATTGAGAGACTCTGACAATCCAAAAAAGCAATGCCAAATCCAAAAGTCGTGTGAAGCCACAGCTTTGAGCATAATAGTTGGTTTGCGTTGATGCTGGTGTACTGCCCGACCCAAGCCTTTGGACAGTTCTTCCGATTTCAATGCATGCAATCCACACTCCCAAGCATGTCCGCGCATCCTCTTGCTTTGTTTATCGCCATTAATATTTTTGTGCCCTCCTCATAGGGAGCTCGGAGGTACTCGGGACAGAATACCCAGATCATTGTATTCTAAACACCCGCACGCATTTGAGCATGGTATCTTCTCGGATGCAAAGATATTCATTGGTGTAATCTACCGGAATGTCATATGCTAACACTCGCATTGTCATCGATATTTTTTGGCATGCACTAAACCCTAGCAAACCGACAACATTTCTCCAGCGAGTGAAGAACCAACATCTTTTGCTCGCAAGCTTCCACAATGCGAATAAAAAGAGGCCTACACATTCGATAACGCCTATGGAAAAGATGACCCGGATATGACGGTACCTTGGCAAAGTAGTCTTTTATGAGAAACTCGTGACGGAGAGCTCAGTTGCATGGAGTGCAAAGTCGGTCGACCGTCGATCCACGAAGCTTCTTATTATTATTATTATCGGTTTTAAATTTGTCGACGAGATGCAACAAGAGGAGATGATCGGCATCGTCGTCAAAAAGCATCTCCCCTATGTTGAAATCATCCGACTCCGACGATGAGGACGAACTCCAAATATCATCCATTTACGAAAATAAATTCCCGGTCATATCAAAATTTTCCCATTGGCTGATTCTAAAGATGGTATAAAAAGATGGAAATCTTAGCTTTTATCGGCTCAAAGCAGCCGCAACCCCCTTCTAGCCCACCAACCGGCGTAGCCCCCTTCTTATCCGCCGCAGTTGCCACCTTCCCTACTCCTCCTCGCCTCGCTACGGCTCGCTCGGACGGCAATTGCTCAATCATATCCGGAGCAGCCGAAACCGCCTGCAAGAGGCGGCATACATCGAAACTCTGAGTCGAATCTATAACAACGATGGCTGCAGCCATGCCGACCATGGCAAGGAATGGACTCCCAGCTCTAATCTTGGTGAAGGAGATGCGGCAAGAAAAATGGCACCCCCGAGCTCTAATCTTGGTAAAGAAGATGCGGTAAGGACGGGTGAAGCTCCACGACACGGGGTGGCCGGAGGAAGCAAATGACATCGGAGATTTGGGAAGGGGTGGAGGCGGAACAACGGGTGATAACCCACAAGTATAGGGGATCGCAACAATTTTCGAGGGTAGAGTATTCAACCCAAATTTATTGATTCAACACAAGGGGAGCCAAAGAATATTCTCAAGTATTAGTAGCTGAGTTGTCAATTCAACCACACCTGAAAGACTTAATATCTGCAACAAAGTATTTGGTAGCAAAGTAGTATGGAAGTAACGGTAACGGTGGCAAAAGTAACAGTATCGATTTTATAGTAATCGTAACAATGGCAACGGAGAAGTAACTAAGCAAAGAACAATATGTGAAAAGCTTGTAGGCAATGGATCAGTGATGGATAATTATGTTGGATGCAATTCATCATGCAACAGTTATAACATAGGGTGACACAGAACTAGCTCCAGTTCATCAATGTAATGTAGGCATGTACTCCGAATATAGTCATACGTGCTTATGGAAAAGAACTTGCATGGCATATTTTGTCCTACCTTCCCGTGGCAGCGGGGTCCTATTGGAAACTAAGGGCTGTTAAGGTCTCCTTTTAATAGAGTACCGGACCAAAGCATTAGCACTTAGTGAATACATGAACTCCTCAAACTACGGTCATCACCGGGAGTGGTCCCGATTATTGCCACTTCGGGGTTGCCGTATCATAACACATAGTAGGTGACTATTGACTTGCAAGATAGGATCAAGAACTCACATATATTCATGAAAACATAATAGGTTCAGATATGAACTCATGGCACTCAGGCCCTAGTGACAAGCATTAAGCATAGCAAAGTCATAGCAACATCAATCTTAGAACATAATGGGTACTAGGGATCAAACCCTAACAAAACTAACTCGATTACATGGTAAATCTCATCCAACCCATCATCGTCCAGCAAGCCTACGATGGGATTACTCACGCACGATGGTGAGCATCATGAAATTGGTGATGGAGGATGGTTAATGATGACGATGGCGACGGATTCCCCTCTGCGGAGCCCCGAATGGACTCCAGATCAGCCCTCCCGAGGAAGGTTAGGGCTTGGCGGCGGCTCCGTGTCGTAAAACGCGATGAATCTTTCTCTCTGGTTTTTTTCTCCCCGAAAGTGAATATATGGAGTTGGAGTTGAGGTCGGTGGAGATCCAGGGGGGCCACGAGGCAGGGGGCGCGCCCTGCACCCTCATGGATAGGGTGCAAGCCCCTTACGTTGATTCTTTCGCCAATATTTTTTATTAATTACAAAACGTGTCTCCGTGGATTTTCAGGTCATTCTGAGAACTTTTATTTCTGCACAAAAATAACACCATGGTAATTCTGCTGAAAACAGCATCAGTCCGGGTTAGTTCCATTCAAATCATGCAAGTTAGAGTCCAAAACAAGGGCAAACATGTTTGGAAAAGTAGATACGTTGGAGACGTATCAACTCCCCCAAGCTTAAACCTTTGCTTGTCCTCAAGCAATTCAGTTGACAAACTGAAAGTGATAAAGAAAAACTTCTACAAACTCTGTTTGATCTTGTTGTTGCAAATATGTAAAGCCAGCATTCAAGTTTTCAGCAAAGATTATAACTAACCATATTCACAATAACATTTAGGTCTCATGTTTACTCATACCAATGGCATAATCAACTAGCGAGCAATAATAATAAATCTCGGATGACAACACTTTCTCAAAACAATCATAATATGATATAACAAGATGGTATCTCGCTAGCCCTTCTTGAGACCGCAAAACATAAATGCAGAGCACCCCTGAAGATCAAGGACTGATTAGACATTGTAATTCATGGCAAAAAAGATCCAGTCACACTCAATGCAAGTTAATAGCAATGCATGCAAATGACAACGGTGCTCTCCAACT